TTAATTCACTTGCAGTCTTCTATAAACAACTTCAGCCCTTTGATGTAGGATTTCTTTTTATTAGTTCGCGATATTTTAAATTTTTTTACTAATATCTTTTTTCTGCTCGGTCATCTTCAATTAAGTCTTCTACAATTATAATAGACGTTCCCTTAAGTTTAGCGCAATTTCTTAAAATTTCTTTATTTTTCAAAAAAAATTGTTAGAGATAGTAACACAAATATGTTCAATCGAGTTATTTTTTACCCCAGAATATGTGGTTCCATTTATGATCTACCTTTTTGTTACACCCAGGTAGTTTTAACAGGTAGTGTAAAAAAAAATTTAATTAAATTTCATGTCCTCAAGCTAAAGCTCTATTCAGAATATTATTGACAAAATTATATCTCGACAAATTGATATCAAAAACACTCAAAATTTAGATACAATAAAAATAGTCGACTATTTGTGTTTTTTTTTTCTCCTGGGCTCGTCTGACTATGTATCTCCGAATAACACTGAAGCCGATAGGCTTCAGTGTTATTATGTGAGAGAATACCCAAAATTTCTATCATATAAAAAGAGAAAGTCCAAAGACTTGTAATGAAGTCAATTTTTCTCAATCAATTTATTTTCATTTTTCATTTTAATAATAAATATTTAACGCGGTGTGAAGTGTCGTTCCTCAGTTAATTTACCAGCGCGAGCGCCGATCGAGAATCGTGCGCGGTGGTCTGTCTTTAAGTGGGATTTCTGATAGGAGAGGGAATCATTTGGGTAAACGAGAGCCGAGATGCTATTAAAATTAGTGATGGGCATAATCGAATGAATTTCGTATTCGAATATTCGAATGATAAAAATATAAATAATCGAATGATCATTCGAACTCTCTTCTTCTTATTTACATTTGTATTTAGAGGTAAAAAAGAAGAAAAAACTTGGTTATTTTATGTTTGATTTTTTATTTTGTTTTATATTGAAAATTTAGCGTGTCAATTATCAAAAGAGTCAATATTAAGTTTGCTCACAAAATGCTCACAATCTGCCACTGCTCTACTTTTACTCCACAATTCTTTAAATGCTCACAAATGTGAGCAATTGCTCACACATTGGCAACGCTGTATATTATATACTTTTATGAAACTTGACTTTTTTGAGGTTAGGTTATTTACAGGCCTCAGATGGCGGGACTATTCGGCCTAATGTCAGTTCTACTAAATGATTTGAATTATGCCAAATAGCTGCGGCAGTTGAAGCCTTTAAATTAAAAAAAGAATAATGTTGATATCGCCGATTTACAGTAATTGCTGAATAGCCTGAAAAGTCTAAAATGTTTCGAATCATTTCTAGGTAATTCGAGACATTTCGAATGATAGTAATAATTTGAATATTCGAATGATTTTGCATTCGAATTGCCCATCACTAATTAAAATTATGAGTTCGATATAATTTTTGGTTGCCACCAGTCGAATCTAATAAGCCGCACTAGAAATCAAATCACCGCCAATATTTTTTCCGTTTTCTTGTATTTACAAATCCGTTAGGTAAAAAACCATGAATATTTTTAATAGATAGTGATTAGCTAAAAGATTTAATTTGATTTCTTTAATAAATAATAGAATTTGTTTCTTGGCAAATGATACCGTTTCTTTATTTTATTTTATAGATAGTGTTTAGTTAAAAGAATTAATTTGATTTAAATAATAAATATTAGAATTTGTTTCTTGGTAAAATATTACCGTTTTTTTTTATAGATAGTGTTTAGATAAAAGAAATAATTTGATTTCATTAATAAACATTTGAATTTATTTCTTGGTAAATAAAATACCGTTTTGTTAAAAAGGGATAGAATTTGAATTAAATAATAAATGATAGGATTTAATTCTGTAATATTGTAAAACCGGGGATTTTAGACTTTGATCGTTAGTCTGTATTAAGAAATTATTTTTTTTCTTTTGATAGGTTAAATCGGGAATTAAATTTGATTTAATTGATAAATACTTTTGTTTAGTAAGTACCGCGTTGTAATTAAGTTGGGAATATTTGTAAACGGAGTTTTCGAGGAGACATTTTCTTAATAGTTTGTTTATTTCTTTTACCGTAATTTTAAAAAATCTTAAATAGCATCCTGTCCTTGTCTGAACGGGCTCGTGATGACGATCAGTTTACCCTTGGAGTAGGTGCTATCCGCGTTATTTTTTTTTTTAGTTAATCTCTAAACCGCCATTTTTAAATAATTTTAAATAGTATCCTGTCCTGTTTGAACGGACTCGTGATGACGATCAGTTCACTCTTGGATTATGTACTATCCGCGTTAGTAAATTTTCTTCCCTCCGATAATAATTTGTTTTTCTCTTTTTACGACAATTTAAATAACTTTAAATAGTGTCCTGTCCTTGTCTGAATGGGCTCTTGATGACGGTCAGTTCATTCTTGGACTAGGTACTATCCGCGTTAGTTTTCTTTTCCCCTTTATATTCTTCATTTTTTTTGTGCAAACTGCAAGTTGTAGAAAGTAAAAATAGCTTCATTACCCTGTCTGAGCGGGCTCGTGATGACGATCAGCTCATTCTGAGATAATAGGCTACCCTGGGTATAAATTTATTTTTATTTTCTTTCCGTGTATTTACTATACGTAATTCTTTCGCGTCCCTGTCTCCTCGCACTCTCTTCGACCGTTTAATTAATTTTTCCTCACCTAAAGAGCAAAATAACTACATTTTAGTTTAATTCCCGATACCGCGGTTAAACAGTTATTTACCGAGCGAATAGCCAAGTTATTTTTTTTCTTTTCTCTGCGACCGAAATATACATTTTATTTTAATTTAATTTTGACGTCTGATTGAGACTGGTCGCGAATCAATACCGTCCGTTTTGTTTCTTTTTTTTTATATTTAGGGTTATATTGACTATCACCACAACTGGGGTGGGCGTTGAAATATTTAATTTTTTTTTTATTGTAAATAGTTAACCACAATATATGTGTCAATGTTAACCTGCCGTATTACTGGTTAATAATTCCCTACTTTATTTCCCCCTTATATTTCAGCTAGTGATAAATTCTGTACGAGCCCAAGCAACGATTAAAGCCCGTTACTTGGGGCCTTCTATTACCTGTGTCTAAGTGACCTTTGACCCCTGGAATTTTTAATCTCCATCTGTAGCTACCCGAGTACTTTCGACGCCGTTTCGAAAGTTTGTGGAGTAAACCATCATCAAAAATCTGGCGCTCGAGAAACGCCCGTAACCAGCGTCATTCGTAAGGAACCGTTTTCTCTGTGGCGAGAAAACCCCTTACAGACTATAGCAGAAAAAAATCCGAAACATTTTTGGGAAATAAAAAAAGATTTATTATTTAGTTGTCTTAACAAGTAGTCATAACAAATTAGATTATCTAAGGTTTTGAGGGATTAAAAGCATTATATTTTTTTAAATTAATCTATTTTAGATTGAAGAACTGGTTCTTGGTCATAGAAAAAATAGGGCATGCAACTCTTATGTAATGGCTATTAATACATGATCTTTGCATAATATACTAATATTAAGATATACCCTAAGTACTGTGGGGCAACCCACCCTCCCTCAGATTAAAGTTACAGAAAATATCCCGAAGTAACAGCTAATATAAAACACCCTGTATTTGACTTATATATTATACTTTATTTATATTACCTTTCAACATCTTGAGGAAATCTGTAAAATGAATGTGCACCGATATAAGATTTATTTTTGCAGTCTTTATAACTACAAATAAATCCAGCTTTTTTTGTCTTCTTCCATAACTCACACTGTCATTAAAGCACAACAAAATCAGAAAATATTCAATGATAAAAATATTTAAGCAAAATAACAGAAACAACAGAATAATAATAATAGTAATTATAAATTCACGATTTCGATACCACCGCCCGTGCCGGTCGCTACTGCACTGAAAGTTTCGGTGTAGAATATCGGTGTAGGTGTGCTTGAAGGTCACGAGCCCTCAAAGATTACGTGACCGGAGATATCCTTCTGGTTATTATTTTTTCTTGTGGTTCAATCAATAAATTGGACGTTGTCTAACGCAATTATTGAAAGAAATGTGTCTTTACAAATTTTGGAATACCGTCATGGTAATTGGGAGGAAAGATGTTTACCAATTAAGGATATGATAGAAATATGTCGCCATATAAAAAAATATACGAGTCTGAGTATTTGTACAAAGTTTTCCTGGAATTGAATCTGTTTCGTTTTCGCCTGGTCACTCTGTATAGCGGAAATATGTAGGTATTGATCGGATGCTTGACATAAACTCAAAATAATAAATTAAATATTCAAATGACACTTAAGGTAAAGTATTTTTATCATTTCTATTTGTTCACTTTATTTTTTTAATTTTTTTAACTAGAAAAATAGTTCAATGTTTGTAAACATTAATGTTATTGTTTTGATCAGGATTTCTTTCGTTTCAGTATTTCTGCGTAACATTTTTCACCACGTGCGTGAACATTAATAAAAACAAAGACTAAGTATAATGAGTAAATACATTAGGCGTAGTTCAATGATTGAAATCGTTGAAAAGACCATCAAGTAATTAGCTAAATAGATTAGCATAGGGTTGTTTAGATGTTAAAAATAGAACCAAGGCTAATCATAAAAGCTTATAAGAAAAATTTCTTTTTTTGTATAAAAAAAATTATGTACATAAAATTACCGAGAAATCGGTCATAGGCGTGAATATTTTGCTAAAAGTAACTAACAAGAAAAAAAAATAACGTTAAAAACTAAAAGTAAGGATAGAAAAATTAAATAAATTTTTAACAAATGAGAAGATACAAAATCTTTATACTACTTTTCAAGTAATGAACTCTATAAAACGTCGTAAACCGTATTATTAACCTTAAAAATGCTCTTACCAAAAAATATCGAAAAACACAAAACAACGAACAATAATATTTTCAACCAATCAGTACAAGGCTATTCAAATTGCAGAGGAAGACTAGCAAATAAAATATTCTGGTTGTCAGCTAAAAAATTTACTAAATTTACTATAAAATCAGTATTAAACTATGTATCGTTGAATTGAAATAATATAACTAAATACGTAGTTACCGCTCCAGCAATCTGAAAACAAAATTGTTAATTAGAATTAGGTAAATAATAATAATAATAACAACAAATGAATAATTAGTTAAAAATTACCATTTATAGTTTGAGAAAGTATTAGTACTATTTTATTTTATAGACTGGCTATTTTCGTGAATACTAGAAAATAAAAAAACACGCCTATCTTAGATAAAGTACCTACTTCTAGTAGATAATAGACCTCTGCCGTTATTGATGATGTTTATTACTCATGCGCAAATTTATTATTAGGTTTCCTACCCTGAGTTACTATTACACATTCGCAAATATCAATTTGTTTTTGCATTTGACTGCTGATACTTTTAGGTGTGTTATTTGGGAAAGGTAAAACTACAAATATTTCGTTCATTCTTCCTTTTAGAACATGGAAATAAATTTCTGCGCAGCTTCCCCTTCCAAAAATGTCACCGCACGCCACTGCCGCAGATATGCCCGATGAAGCACACAATGTGTTACATTACATTATGTTATAATGAATTTAAAAATTAAATTTTATAAATATTATGAAATATTTTTTTAAATGTACATAATGTTATGTGAGCCATTTCATTATTCAGTCATGCTCTAACCCTACTACAAGTCCCTCTCTGTCTTATTTGGCCTTTGAGGCTCAACTTGTCCGATTATTATACACAATTAAACCCCTTAAGACCAAACCTATGGGACGACTATGGTGGAGACACTTTCGCGAACATTCCAGGGTCAACGAGATACTATTTCTAGAACGTGATAACGTTTCTGGTACATACTGGCAATTTTGGTGGGAGAGCATTCTAGACCACCAATTTGTATATAAGGAGAGCCATCAGAATCAGTATTATATGAACAGTGAAGATAAATAGTAATCAGTTTATATATGGACAGTGAAGATAAATAGTAATTAGTAGATAGACAGTGGTGAATATAAATAGTGATCAGTTTAAAGACATTCGAAGTATATATAAATTAAAATAGTAGTAGTGTTATAAAATAAATAAGTGTTTAAATAAATTATTAATAAATAAACTGTTGTTTGAAAATAAACAAACATCACAATAACTATGCCGATAACAATTTTAAACGGTATTTGTCTTCAGTTCCTAAATAGTATATACCTCATGTTAAAGAAACTATTTTTATAACAGTTATAAAACACATCGCCCATCTCTTGGCCACTGGTGCTTGGGTATAGAGAAAGTAAAAGTTAAAAAGTCTTTTGGTAGGTAGAGAGGGGGTAAACGTCAAACCACGTCGGGCGGCTCCGAGAATTTCACAGTAATGTTTAACCTGCCAGTGTCGTTTCATAGAATAAGTAATTTTAAATTGTTATTGGCGAAACCGGACAATCGCATGTATTTATGGATTATAAATAATTATTAAACATGTATTATAATATTCAAATTATAATTTTACAAAATTTCAACAGCTATTCACAATTTATTAAACTATTTACTCGAAATTGTTATTAACATCTATAAAATAATTTTGTACGCCAATGTATCGCGTCCACTTCGGTGAGATGCGCTGCCAACCTGTCAATTTATGTGTATAAAGTGGGAGAACTGGCAAAAGCATTTCCAACTTTTACTTCTGTTCTACCTACTTTTTTGTGATTGTTTTTGTTCGCCAATTATTAACTAGAAATGCTTTACAGTAAACTATTTCGACGTTGGTCAGAGACGTAGTCACGTACATTGTTTTGACCTCGATTTTGACTAAAATTTCTAGACTCAATACTTATTAGGTAAGAGGTACATGTAAAGACCTACTGCATCATTCGAAGTTTTCATTTATTACTGTAATTTTCCTAGTGGATCTGAAATTAAGATCGCATGTTTATGATATCCTTATGTGCTCTTCAATTCTCAGATTAAATATGGCTTTGTAGTTTCGTTCTTTGAATAATAACTCTTAATGACAATAATTATATCGGATAAAGTAATTATAAACTTACGGAAGTCAACAAAGATCTATTGATTTTAAAAAATCCACAAGAAGAAAATTGTAATTTGCAATAACTTATTTGTAGAGATAAAATTGTCATCTAAAAAAAAAATGCAAATTTTAGAGACTTTTGTAAATCTCTTTTAAAGTAGGTAGGTACTTACGGCTTTTTTGAGTTCTTCATCTACTTCGTGTGATAACATTTCACAAATGATTCCAGAAGTCTTTTTGTGCTAAAACAAAAAAAAAACACAGTTTTCGAAAGAAAAAGTACTTTATGTATACCTATATTTATAAATTATTATGGACAATTTTTGGAAACTCCAGAATACTTAAGACTACTTAAAGAATACTTAAAGAATACTTAAAGAATACTTAAAGAATACTTAAAGAATACTTAAAGAATACTTAAAGAATACTTAAAGAATACTTAAAGAATACTTAAAGAATACTTAAAGAATACTTAAAGAATACTTAAAGAATACTTAAAGAATACTTAAAGAATACTTAAAGAATACTTAAAGAATACTTAAAGAATACTTAAAGAATACTTAAAGATTACTTAAAGAATACTTAAAGAATACTTAAAGATTACTTAAAGAATACTTAAAGAATACTTAAAGAATACTTAAAGAATACTTAAAGAATACTTAAAGAATACTTAAAGAATACTTAAAAAATACTTAAAGAATACTTAAAGAATACTTAAAGAATACTTAAAGAATACTTCAAGAATACTTTAAGAATACTTTAAGAATACTTTAAGAATACTTTAAGAATACTTTAAGAATACTTTAAGAATACTTTAAGAATACTTTAAGAATACTTTAAGAATACTTTAAGAATACTTTAAGAATACTTTAAGAATACTTTAAGAATACTTTAAGAATACTTTAAGAATACTTTAAGAATACTTTAAGAATACTTTAAGAATACTTTAAGAATACTTTAAGAATACTTTAAGAATACTTTAAGAATACTTTAAGAATACTTTAAGAATACTTTAAGAATACTTTAAGAATACTTTAAGAATACTTTAAGAATACTTTAAGAATACTTTAAGAATACTTTAAGAATACTTTAAGAATACTTTAAGAATACTTTAAGAATACTTTAAGAATACTTTAAGAATACTTTAAGAATACTTTAAGAATACTTTAAGAATACTTTAAGAATACTTTAAGAATACTTTAAGAATACTTTAAGAATACTTTAAGAATACTTTAAGAATACTTTAAGAATACTTTAAGAATACTTTAAGAATACTTTAAGAATACTTTAAGAATACTTTAAGAATACTTTAAGAATACTTTAAGAATACTTTAAGAATACTTTAAGAATACTTTAAGAATACTTTAAGAATACTTTAAGAATACTTTAAGAATACTTTAAGAATACTTTAAGAATACTTTAAGAATACTTTAAGAATACTTTAAGAATACTTTAAGAATACTTTAAGAATGATTAAAAATACTTTAAGAATATTTTAAGAATACTTTAAGAATACTTTAAGAATACTTTAAGAATACTTTAAGAATACTTTAAGAATACTTTAAGAATACTTTAAGAATACTTTAAGAATACTTTAAGAATACTTTAAGAATACTTTAAGAATACTTTAAGAATACATTAAGAATACTTTAAGAATACTTTAAGAATACTTTAAGAATACTTTAAGAATACTTTAAGAATACTTTAAGAATACTTTAAGAATACTTTAAGAATACTTTAAGAATACTTTAAGAATACTTTAAGAATACTTTAAGAATACTTTAAGAATACTTTAAGAATACTTTAAGAATACTTTAAGAATACTTTAAGAATACTTTAAGAATACTTTAAGAATACTTTAAGAATACTTTAAGAATACTTTAAGAATACTTTAAGAATACTTTAAGAATACTTTAAGAATACTTTAAGAATACTTTAAGAATACTTTAAGAATACTTTAAGAATACTTTAAGAATACTTTAAGAATACTTTAGGAATACTTTAAGAATACTTTAGGAATACTTTAAGAATATTTTAAGAATACTTTAAAAATACTTTTATTTAGAAAATAATTAATATAACCCAAATTATTCATTATTCAATCAATTTTGCATTTTGAAATCGTTTACGACGATCTCGGCCATATGTGATTTCAAATTAATTTAATTTAAATTAAACTAACCGAATGAAAGTTTTATTGGGGTAATAATAATAAAAATACTTAATTTTCATAATTCCTATTAGCAAAACAAAGCAACCTTTGGAAATAAAATAGCACCTTGTATTGTTGAAATTATAATTTAGTTTTTTTGGTTCTGTATAATTCTAAATTAAAACTTTTTTTAAAAATCTTCTAGTTTAGCTGCTTTGCTCTAGACGAATATAATTGGCTCACTATGTATGTATCAGATGTTATTGAACTAGTTTTATCAAAAAACCGTATTATTTTATGTTTTGTTTTTCCATACCTAATAATAGACCTATCTATTATCTAAAAACAAAATAAAGATTTTATAGTTCAAATTAAAACAAAATCAAAGGCCTTCATCTTTTTAACGGTCTTTTTAAAAGTTTTTCTATGCAAGAGGAATCTAATGAAACCAATAATTTTTAGTTTTTATCATAAAACTTTTATGGTTAGTATTTCAGTTCAGGGTATGAATAACGAGTTTCTTTATTAATTATTTTATGCCAAAAACTACTTAAAAGTTTTCTCATATAAGTTAAATATCGCCTCACACACAAAGTTAATGACAATTCAAAAACTAAAACTTGTGTACTAATTTAATAAAAGTAACTAATTCAATATTGTCTTAAATTAAATTCATAGAGTAGTTCATTATCAAATAGTTAAGTAATGTCAAATTACAATTATGGGTCTTTTCTAATAAGTTTTGGGCTATTTTTAGAAATGTACTACTATTACGCTTATAGCTTTAAGGATACACTAAATTTGTCAAAAATAATGAAAATAATATATAAAGTAATCCACAAAAAATGTAAACCCTGGAAAAATTTACGCATATCTGAGCGTACATGGATTTAATTTGAAGCGGTTACATGACTCTGTCAGTCTCAGCCTATTTTAGAAACATTTTTTGTAGATCACCCTTTGTATATTTTAATTATGCTTACTTCATTGATGCAGTACTGACATGGCTCCACAATAATAAGTACCCTTCCTATATGGCCTATAAGCCATGCTGATTGAAGTAATATATAATAAAGCTCTCCATCGCCAAATAATCCTTTCAGTAAAAAATAAGGTGTCACTATTAAGTGAAGAAGACAGCTTAACATTATAACCTAAAATGTATTATTAATATACTATTTCTTCAGCATGCATCATTAATATCTTATAAAATAAATCGCACACTCTTTACAAAGCGTCTCTGAAAAGCAGGATAAAATTCATTATATTCTGTTTTTTACGCAGATAAATATGTTCTTGTGATGGCAGACATGGAAAGAGATAATTATAAAAAAGACACATCTTCAAAGGACACATATCAATTTTAAAGTTCTAACTCCAATTAAGACAGTAGGCGAGACTGGGGTATAATGATCCCCTTAAGGCTAATTTCGTTATATTTTTGCAAGTACAGGGATATAAATTTATTTGTCTTTTCTAGAAGATTTGATGTCCATTTGACAACAATTTAGTATTTAAAAAGATGTTGATTTTCTTCACATTTTGGAATGACAATGATATTTGTTAATATCTGCAAAAGGATCATTTTACCCAAATGCTTAAGGTAAAACGATCCCCCACATGGGGCAAAATTATCCTATTTTCAAAACATTATTTTAATACTACACTTTCGATAAATAATATAACACTAAATACAAAACATTAGTTTATTTGTAAAAAAAGCATAAAACATAACATACAAAAGCATAAATAAATTTTTAATACTCTTAAGGGAATAAACAGAAACTTGCTCAACATTTTTTAACAAAATTAACTCAAACAACTTTTAATACCATAATTTAAAACTTGATATTTTTCTTAACTCGATAGGTTTGGGTTTGATGCAAACAGAAATCACATTCAAAATCGAAATCGTTCTCATCGACCCCGGCACACTGATCATGAGCCCATTTTAGGCATTTAATGCACCTGATCCATCCTTCTTTAGGTTCTATTTGAACGACTAAGAGTTTATGCCCTAATAATTATCTCAAACATTGGGTATTTCTCTAAATTTGTAATTGCCTTCCATTTGTAACTTTGTTCATTGTAATGTTTTAAAAATTAATTTTGTGACTAAAATTTCTTGTTCATAATTTATATTTACATATTTTTATATAACATATTGTTACACAGGTTTTTGGTATCTCAATTTATTTCAAATCAACTTCTGCAATAACTGCACAACTGATAACATTAAGATGTAACGTCTATCATAAAACTGAACTCTGACATCAGGTCGTCGACTTATATAGCTTGCCTTAACCTTCTAGAACCTTCTCAAACAATCAATATTTGACAATGAATGACATATCAAGACATTTCTGGACTATTCTATCTTCTTCATTTACTCGTACCATTACTTATGGACGACCGCAGCACGCTGCAGAGTGCTGCGTAACATTGCTCCCTCCTCTCTAATTATTTACCCCGAATAACTTACTGGGACCTGGTTGGAGCCAATGGGGAGGATCTGGCTACAGTATGGCGCTAAATTTTTAATGTGAACTACATTGGGTTTACTTCCCGCGGACAACTGAATGCGATAGATCAGGTCGTTGATTCTCTTAAGGACGGTGTAGGGGCCTTCCCAGTTCCGTTGCAGTTTCGGACAAAGTCCTCTTCGGCGCTTGGTATTGTACAGCCATACTGGATCGCCTCTCTCAAAATGTACCCCTGTGGCATGCATGCCGATTCTAGCTTTTGCTTTATCGCTATTGACTTTCAAACGTTGCCGAGCGAATTCGTATACCTTTTCGAGTCTTTCTCTTAAGTTATGTATGAACGTAGGAGCTGTACGGCCCTCTTCTTCATCAGGAGGCTGCCTTCCAAATAAAAGATCATGGGGAAGCTTCATCTCCCTTCCCGTAATTATCATAGATGGAGTATAACTGGTCGATTCATATTCAGAACCTCGGTATGCTAGTAGGAATAGACGAATTAAAGTGTCCCAGTTCTTTTGATTATCAGAAACGAACATTGAAAGACACTAGCATATCGTTCTATTGTATCTTTCTATCATTCCGTCGGATTGTGGGTGGAGAGGCGTAGTGCGTGTTTTCCTGATGCCTAACAGCTTCATCAAAACTTGCCATAATTCGGATTTAAAATTTTGTCCTTGGTCAGAAGAATGTAATTCCAGGGGGACTCCGTGTCTCGCAATGACGTTCGTCATAAATGCTTCCGCGACTGTCGTCGCCTCCTGATTAGAAATAGGCAGTATTTCGGGCCTTTTTGAAAAATAGTCCATAACAACCATCAAGTATTTGTTTCCTCTTTTTGTTAAGGGAAGTGGTCCGAGGATATCTCTGGCGATTCGTTTGAAAGGTTCTCCGGAAAGGTACTGTGCCATTTTACCTCGACTTGTTGTTCTGGGACCTTTTCTGCCATTACAAAAGTCACATTCCTTACACCAATCTTCTACATCCCATCGACAGTTGACCCAATAAAAGGTTTCCCGAACTTGTGCAATTGTCCTATTAGTACCAAAGTGTCCTCCTGAACGACTGCTATGAAGCTCCTCCAACACACTTCTGACCTGTGATTTCGACAGTATCACTTGACGGACTACATGTACTCCATCGGTGCTCTCCCACTTCTGGTGCAATAGCTAATAGTTCTTTTCTGGTGACGCAATAATTCTTCTCAGATTTTCTCAAGGTCTTACTAAAGTACGCAATTACTTTCTCTTCTCCCTCTTGTTCTTGGGAGAGCCCAGCGCCCACGCCGTGTTGGAACGCATCACAGTCCAAAATGAATTGTCCTTTTTCTCGAAGGTAGGCTAGGATGGGTGCCGTGGTCAATCGCTTTTTCAACTCGGTAAAGGCATTTTGGCAATCCGGCGTCCAGTCAAATAAACTACTGTTTTCAGTTAGTCGATGAAGGGGTTTAGCAATTCGGCCAAAGTCTTTGACAAATTTCTGGTAATATGAACACAGTCCAAGAAAACTTCTAATTTCTCATTCATCTTTTGGTTTAGGCCAATCTTTGATAGTGATAATTTTCTCCGGATCAGTTTTGATTCCTTCCGCGGAAACGATGTGTCCAAAATAATAACAGGCGTATGCATAGTCGATCGCCAACGACTCGCCAGAGATTCATTTCGGCGTTTCGCCAGCGATTCGCTGGCGATCCGCCGGCGAAAGCCCAAAAAGGTGGCGTCTCGCCGGAGATTGTCACCGGAATGTCATTTCACGCAAGTTTTTATTTTCTTTTATAGAGATTATCACCGGTATCTCTCGCATTTTATTCATGATTCATTTCTTAAAACTCAAAAAATAATGAACGAATATCAAATTTTTCCCTATAAAAGAACATGAAAACTTGCGTGAAATGACATTCCGGTGACAATCTCCGGCGAGTCGCCAGCTTTTTGGGCTTTCGCCGGCGGATCGCCAGCGAATCGCTGGCGATACGCCGAAATGAATCTCTGGCGAGTCGCTGGCGATCGACTATGCATACGGCTGTAAGCTTACGATTGGAATAGTGAACATTTATTGTGATTTTGCTTCAGATTGGCATTTCTTAATCTGTCAAATACTTCACTCAAATTTATTAGATGTTCATCAAAAGTTTTTGACATGATCATTAGGCGTTTTCGAAAACATACTCGGATCAGAAAGATTATGGATCCTATTGTTCGTTTACCTCAAAGACATTTTTGGTTTACCTATGGTTACTAACCTTATACGTGTTCGGAAACTAGTAGATTACTGATCCCAGCTTTGTGATCGAGATCAAAGCCATATTCGAGCGGTCCCTTTGGTTTAAAAATATTTTCAACAACTTTTAGAACCAGTTTTAATACTACGTCATAGATTTTGAAAGCACTCAAATAGATGATTTTAAAACAGTGATGTCACTAACAGTTAAGGATTTTTGAGTGTATAGGGTGCTGCGTAACAATATATACACCCACAATTATTGTAGATAAGCACTGAAGGTGGCGTTATGCCGAAAGCGCTTTGCATTTTTAAATAAATTAAGGTTTTTTTGCAAATCCGTATTAGCCGTTTCACAAAGCTGGCATTAACTGGGTTACTTGTGGTGGCTTTCCCAGTTGAACTGTCTTCGCACTTGATTATGTTTTCTACCGGCGTACAGAGCCCTATTTTTTGTCCTTTCTTTAAATTGGCAACCCTTACTGGAATTAGTTGATCAACGTTAACGAGACATCTAACTACCAGAATTCCGTCACTCACAGTTTCTTCACTTTCCACAATGCCCACACGTAAATTGTGTAATTTCTCGCTAAGTCTCGCCGAGACGACAGCTTCAGAATTTTGGGGTACTTCTATGTCTTTTCTTCCGAATTTAGGATAATTTCCTCGTTTACAATTACCAAGATCTTGTTTTGAAGGTCGATGATAAACTTATTTTGCATAATGTCCATACCAAGGACACACTGATCCTTAATATCGGCCACCAGAAATAAGTGTTCTCTCAGGGTATTACCAATCTGTACGGTCGCTGATATCTCGCCTAGAACAGGAGTAGTGTGCCCTATGGCTGTTTCTATAACAAAGCTTCTTCGAGTTGGTCGTGGTTTTCGATGCAGGATCCCTGTTCGAATGAAAGACTTAGTTGCAACAGTATCAAAGACGAAGATGCCTTCTTGGTTATCGATATACCCCTTGACCAATAGATTTTGTTCGTTTTTATTTAAGGTGGGGCCCTCTGTTACAGCTGACGCCTGCCCCGTAGTGTCGACCTTTATTCGTTTTCCTGACTACTGTTAGAAATCCGGCTAGGTGTGGGTGACCGTCTTCTCCGGGAGGCATATCTGCTGTAAATATTTCGTGATAGACTTTGTGAAGGGCTTCGGGAGGTTGATCTAGGTGAATTTCTGGTATCATTCCCTGATTTTCAATTTGTAGAACGAGTCCTGCTTCGACAACTTCTTTGGAGGTGTCCAATTCTTCCACAATTGAAGCATCTTCTGCTTTCATTTTGGCTATTTCGTTGCATACTTTGCAGGATATTTAAGATCTGTGAGAGGGTAGGTTGAGGGATAGTATTAGTAGTGGCCTCTTCACTTTCTTGAAATCGAATTTCTCTCAATTTTGCGCGAAAAGATCTAGATACACTGTTTGCTGCTTCGTATTCCTGGGATGCAATAAGTGTCTAACTCAACGCCTTGTGGTGTTGTAGCCGAAAAGCCTGCTGCATTTCGACGTCCTGTAGTCCATCAATGAATGCTTGTATGCTGATTTGTTCTAAGAAATCTTTAGGTACCTGTGGATAGGCCAGATGCAGCAATATTTTAATATCGGCTTCAAATTCTTGTAGACTCTTATTGTATTTCTGACTACGAACTTTTAGCTGGCTTTGGAATACCTGTTTTAAATGCTGCTGGCCTTCCTACGCCTTTCTTTTTCCTTCTTTCTGCACCTTTCCTTTTCCTCCTCTTCTTCCTTCCTACGCCTTTCCTTTTCCTCTTCTTGCCTTACTCTCACCTCTTCCGTCTTCAAAAACCATGCTGGTGGGCTTGAAGTATCCATGCCTGCTTCGTACTTAGTGGATCTGGTATTTACTGTGAACTTTTACTTTATATCCCACCGCTGTCACCAATGTTGCACAGGTTTTTGGTATCTCAATTTATTTCAACTCAACTTTTACAATAACTGCACAACTGATAACATTCACATGTAACGTCTATCATAAAACTGAACTCTGACGTCAGGTCGTTGACTTATATAGCTTGCCTTAACCTTCTAGAACCTTCTCGAACAATCTGGATTTTTCTTTGACAACAAATTACATTTCGAGATATTTCTGGACTATTTTATCTTTTTCATTTACTCGTACCCTTACTTATGACGACCGCAGCACGCTGCAGGGTGCTGCGTAACAATATATACACCCACAATTATTGTAGATAAGCACTGAAGGTGGCGTTATGCCGAAAGCGTTTTGCATTTTTAAATAAATCAATTTTGCACGAAATACAAGGTTTTTTTGCTAATCCGTATTATCCAATATGGCGGCCATTTTGTTAGCTGAATTTTCAATACACAAATATTATTCAAAAATGTCAAATTTAAAATAAAAATGAGGTTTCCATTACAAACTTAAAATAAATTGCGATTTACTGATATTTCCGGAAAAACAGTCACAGAATAATAATTGAATCTGTTTGAAGAAACTAATTATTCCAAGCTTATTAATAACGACAATAAGGAGGGTGGAACTTTTAAGTGGCCTTTCTTGTACAAACTTTACATTCTGGCGTATACTTGTGGATCAAGTTATATCCAGTCTTTTATTCTTTGATCGTGAACAATAATTCATTATACCTAACAGTTGATTTTATCCATACAAATATACATTCATTACACAAAAAAGTTGACGAATAAAGTATTGAAGATATTACTTACATGTATACAAAATTCAAAGGAGTTATTTACAATACCCACTGCTTCAAAAATTCTATCGTGAAATATCGATAGAGTTATTAATCTTTTTCCTAGAACAGTTATAAAATATTATTATATTTAGACGCAGAAAAGCTGGGGTAACAGGTTATTAGATTTGTGATATACAGTGTCACCGGTTTTTGTATTATTTAGTTTACTAAAATTAGGTGTTCATGAACAGTTTTTACTTCAAAAATAATAAAAAAAAAAATCTTTTTGTCTGTCAAATTAGACATATTTAAAAAAATATACAAAAAATATTAAATGGAAAAGTTTCCTTTTCGGTTTTCTATCTACCTACCAAATTTAAACAAATTTTAACAACTTTTATTCTTTTCGAGTTTTTTTTTACCTAACAGTTTGGCTCAATCGAATTTCTAAATTCGATTTAATGTTATAAAAGGATTCGATTCAAATCATTTAAATTTCAGAACAAGAATTAAACAATTCGAATCAAAAACCTAGGTACTTCACAAAAGATTAGCTAGTACTAATTCACTGCACGGTGTTGCCAGCTGAAACTTATTTTAAAATGCAACCCCTGCACTGATACGGTAGATATATGACTGGCACATGTTGAGATGTGATACTTATTATTCGGAATTTAGAGACACAACGCATTTATAGAGAACCTGCAAATTGGCATTAGCACGTGTTCATCCTATTGTCCATTTTCTAACATATTTGCATCGTATCTTTAGGGTTGCGTTTTACTTTTTGTTAGAAATTCTTTGTGATTTAATTAATTAGTGTATAAATTAAATTGAAGTGGAACATTTGTTAAATGAATGGGGCCTCAGCGACCTGATACCAATTTTTAATTATAGGTGGGACACCTCAGAGGACAGAGGAATTTGGTATATTAACTAAAAACAATTTTGAATAGGTACCAGTGAGAACCCTATTAAAAAGCAAGAACAGCCTGATCTTATTTTAAAATTATTAATTTCTTCAATGAAACTATCCTATAATTTCAACCAAAATCAATATATTTATGTCAAAGATCATATTATTGTTGTAACAAATTTAGTTGTATTGAATTTATAAACAATGTATTATTGAATATAAATAAAGTATATTTAAAAAAGTGTAAGACTTCTTATTTCAAAATTATTAATTTCATAAATGAAACTATCCTATAATTCAACCAAAATCAAAGATCATATTATTATTGTAACAACTTTAGTTGTATTGGAATTAAGAACAAGGTATTATTGAATATAAATAAAGTATATTTAAAACAAGTGTAAGACTATTTCATTTCAGATGTACATAATACTGCAATTGAGCAATAGATACTCTTCATTTAATTAGAGGTATTTTGGTTAGGGCAAATTGATTCTAATCTTGAAGCAAGGCTTATTAGCTATTGTTGAACAAGTATTACTAGAATTTCAAATCGAGACGAGTTTTACTTGCGGATATACAAACACAACAAAGCTATAAAATAAGGCCATTCATCTTGAATATAGTACACCTTTTTTTCTGTGTATAATATACTCATCTGCTGAAGTGTTTTTAATTTGTTAAAAACATGTCTAATTGTAAAAGTTATCCAAATCCGTTCAAATTTGGCAGATGAGTAACAAACTGAGCAAAGAAAACTTTTTTGTTTAAAATTTTTCGAAAATTTGAGTAATAACGTAATTTATTGTAATTTATTTAACTTTTCGTGAACAAAATATTCAAAAAAATCTATGTGATACGAACTTTAAACGGTAACAAGATTTGAAATAATTATGCCTCACATTCACTTGTAAACTATAGTTTCATTAATATTTCATGCAAACCGTCCGAGAATCATAGAAACAGTTGAATACTAAATTATTCGTCGCGTACAATTTTTAAACTTTCCACTGGTTAATTGATCTTCGGATAGTTCTCAAAGTATTTTTGAAGAAGTCAAACAAATATTTTATAAAGTGATATTATTTTAGCTAGACCAGCGTTTCCCAAACTGTTGTTTGAAAGGTTTATGAAGGGAATTCTCGAAAAAAATGGAATTTTAAATCCTAAACATTGCAACTGGCAAAAGACAACCTCGCAACAACGTCACCCCGCTATCGATGAGAATACATTTATATTTTTAAATCGAGTGAACTGAGACTTTTTTGGAATGCGCTCGACATAACGAGAGTAACGTCTGCCGATATAAAAACGACGCAATCACATAAAGAACTGAATGTTAGAGTTAGTTCCCCTAATCCAACCCTAGAAGCTCACAAAAATATTATATCCCCTTTTAATCTTCCACCTTCTACTAGTGGCATTATCAGTTCACCTAGATATATTTTCAATGTTAGCTCATCAGGATCTTCAAAAGATCTAGATACTAGTCTAAAAGAAATAATTAACACCTCCCTAGTCATTGAAATTATCCACTCCGTCATTAAAAGCCTTAAAGAAAAAAATAGTTTTGATATACAAGAACTTGACTTGTTATCTATCTTAAAAACAAATTTAGAAAACAAACTTCAGATCTTAGTTATAGTCTTTCCATTATCAATTGCAGAACACAGTTATGTGGGGAATCATCAATATTTAATATATACGCACGGTACTTATGCCAAATTAAGAAACGAAAAATAATGTTTACTCCCCTTATACAAAGCGGTAAATATTAACGAACCATCAGTTGTTTACCAATGAAAACATCGAATCGTAAACTTAAATGCACTGTATTGGCCGAAGGTTTACGGAAGGCAGGTGGTCGAAAATATTCCTGAAAGACAGTCTGCGATATCAGTGGAGTACTGTCGTGCGGTGTGTTTTGTATGTGTGGTTGGTTTATTTTAAATTTCTTTTAATAAATATAAATATGGCGTTCTTTAGACCATGGGCGAATGAAGAATATGAAATTGCACAGTGTAGTGAGATTAAAGACAGGTATGACTTTAACGATATGGATTTAGATATACAAACACAACAAGTTATTTTAAATATATTCGAATGTTTAAAAAAGGAAAATATTCAGCAGTCCTGATAATGCGTTCATAATAACAATTGCTGAATTAACTAAAGTAAATAAATTTTCCGTTTATCCGGTAGTCACGAAAGGGGTTGCTGTGGATTATTCATAAAACCGAAAAACATGTAAAGAAAAACTGAAATCAGTTGACAGAGCTACCCAAGATTTTATACGAAGGACAATGTATAGTTTATATAAAGAGAACAGTGTTCCGACATTGGAAGTAATACAGCAAAAGGTGGCAGATTTTCCAGGATACACTTATACCAGTTTGGAAACATTGCGTCAAGTTTTGCCAGCATGTGGTTTTAAACACAAAAAATTGAATAAACAGATGGCAATAACCGAATCGTCAAGGATAGTTCAATGGCGACAAGATTATTTGCGTCAGATAAAAGGCTACAGAAGTTCTAATAGACACATAATTTATCTAGACGAAACATGGTTTGACAGTCACGATGTAGTAAATTTCGGACAGGGTTGGCAGTAGTAAAAATTGCTGTTTGAATGGGCCATGTTCTAAAGGGAAACGCATTATAATAGTACACGCTGGAAGCAAAGACGGTTTCATGCCTAATGCTTTATTATTATCTGCTAAACAAATTAAAAACTGTGCAGCTGATTATCATGAAGATATGACAGCAGAATTATTTGAAAAACGGTTTAATGAACAGCTTTTACCTTACATTCCACCACAGTCAGTAATCGTTATGAACAACGCATCCTACCACTCGCGGCAACTCCTTAAAATACCAAATAGTAGCAGTAAAAAAGCTCAAATTTTAGCTTTTATGTCTGAAAAAGATATTCCTATTCCTGCCAGTGATAGTAAAAAAGGACCAACAAACAAAGAATTGCTTACTGTTATTAAAGGTATAAAGTTAGAAAAAATGTATTATATTGTCAAGCTGTGCAAACTCTTCTCAGACTACCTCCTTACTATTGCATATTTAACCCTATAGAGTTAATATTGGCAAACTTAAAATCAGAATTACGAAAATGTAATCAGTCTCCAGAACTGAGTAAAGAAGTTGTAGAACTCGTAAAGAAAGTTCTAGCAGCAGACCGCCAAGAGCTTTGGAAAAACTGTGTTGAACGTGTTATCAAAGAAGAAGATGAGTATGTAGTATTACCCTCTTTACAATCCATCATAATTCAACCAAATGATGACTCTAGTTCAGAGGATTCAGACTGCCATGATTATTTATAAAGATACTTTAGAATTGAATTGTTTTTTTTTTCTTTTGTTTTATTTGCAAAGAATTTATTTTCCTTTATGGTTTTTTCTTTGAAATTTCGTTTTCCAGAAAAAGAACGAATGGGGTACAAAAAGGGTTCAGTTCACGTCTGGTACCCTGTTTAAACCAAACGCCCTTACAGGCAGGTACACTTTACTCGCTTTTTTACGTTTTATAATTTAATATTCAGTTGTAGCAAGTTAACGAGCTATAATGAATTTTTTTAAGCACAAGTAAGATTACAATTAAGTGCATCTCCAATTTATAATTATTCGATTTCCTTTTAACGAATACTTTCTTGCATATGATATATATTAAAAGTATTAATAAAATAAATTTATAAAATGAGGTAGGTATCTACGCCTATGGCAGATCAAACAAAATTGTCGGTAAAGGTTCCGAACGAGTTTTTATGATCTGCAATTGATAATGGAAGAACTATAAATGCCATTTTTAAAAATTTGTCAATGGAATTGCAGATCTGCAGTTTCCAACAAACAAAACCTAGAAAATTAACTTTTTAAGGAATGTATAGATGTAACTCTGCTCTCTGAGACCTGGTTTAAACCAGGATTTTATTATAACTTTCCTACATACAATACTTTCCGCCTTGACCGTGCTGACGGAAAGCAATATTAGTTAAAGCCAATATAAAAATTAGAAATAAATTTACCTGTTTTTTCCGACATTCCAAATAAATGTTTAACTATATTTTTTAATCATACACAAATTACCTTTGTATCCTTATATATAAAACCGACCACAAGAATAGAGGCTAAGTATGGAACTCCTTTTTCTCCTTAGTACCGGAACCATTTTTCATTGGAGGCGGCTTTAATGCTCA